GACAGCAACAAGGATCTTAACACTCTTTAGTAATATTGTACTATAATTGCAATTCTCAAATACTTTAGTAAACAATTTAGAATTAGAATCGTTCTCTAAAGTGAACATATATGTGTGTGTGTAAAAAATACTCGTGTTCTGATTCATTTAGGTGTAATCCAGATTTATTCTGAACTAAAAAATTAAAAAGCTCCTATTTTGTTATAAACTTTAAGTTGATTTGACATCAGTATACACATCATATACACATGTAACTACTAACTAGACTATAGATATTCCCGCCTTAAGATAATTTAACTTCCTGTTTTAATCAGAATAGTCTTTTGTTGTTTATCAGAATTTTTAATGCATACTGGAGTGATTTAGACATTATGGCAATAAAGATAGAAAAAAAAACGATATTTACTCCCCAGATAATAATAATAATAATACTTGTTTCAGCTAACGGTACGCCATTGCGACTTCATCAGGGCTAGTAGTCTAAGTACACTATGGTAACAGCAATTCGTTAACAGACGGAGAATCAAAATGTTATATTTGTATGTTAATATAGTAATCTTTAAAGTCATCACTTTAATATAATTATATATACACATGTAAATATGCAAGCAATCACTTATGTTCTGAGGAATTTAACAGGTTTCTTTTTAGCTTATATTCTTGAATTTAGCAGGAGTTTAACAGGTTTCTTTTTAGCTTTTATCCTTCAGTTTAGCAGGAGTTTAACAAGTCTAATTTTAGCTTATATTCTTCAGTTTAGCAGGAATTTAACAGGTTTCTTTTTAGCTTTTATCCTTCAGTTTGGGAGGAGTTTAACAAGTTTAGTTTTAGCTTATATTCTTCAGTTTAGCAGGAGTTTAACAAGTTTCTTTTTAGCTTATATTCTTCAGTTTATTGTTTAAAAATGATGACTTTTCCTAGAGACTAAGCTAAAATATACAAAATAGAAAATATCATACTCATTACTACTTGATATAAACGAAACTACTTCTTTCGTTTATAATTACAAAAACATGCAATTTAATAGGGGCGAGTATCTCATCATAGCAGTCGATACGATACGTATCTAGATACAAAAGTTTCACCAGCTGTTTGTTACAGAGTTTGTCAGTCTTGTCTGTAATTTATTATTTATATTACTAATATTGTCTTATGTTATGTTACTTTACATGTAATGTTTTTGATAAAATAAATGAAGACAACATGTAGTACTCAATACTCATCTTCCTTTATTGAATCATTAATTTTTAGCAAAAATACTTTATTAGAAATTCTGATTTTTTTTTGTACCAGAGACTTATAATATTTGCTGAAAGCTTGAAAAAGTTCGCGAAGATACATAAATCGTATTATATCGTATCGGATGATGTATCGATACAGTTGTATCACGGTTTTACGATACGATACTCGTATCGTATCGCCACACCTTTAGTATTCACGTACATTTACATAATTCAATAATGACGTAGTTCTGTTTATATTATATGTTGTTCTAGTAATACTTTTTCTAATTAGCATCATTTTGTGTAGTTCCACGAGGATATTGTAGTGTTATCTAATTATGTTGAAAGAGATGCAGTTTTGTTTAATTTCTATGAAAAATGTTTTATTTGGTGTAATCGATACGTTGATAAACTTTTTTTCTGTTTGGTTTAACGTCAGTGTTTTTCCTTACACTTTGTTGTTAGAGTACAAACTGATTTTTAATTAAAATGTTAAACATAATTTAGTCCAGTTTTCAGTGACATGTATCTTATCTGGCATTTACCAAATAGTTTTAAGCTTATCTTTCTTTACACTGATCCGGAGTTAGTTTTCTTCTGCCTGTATGAAGAATTATGTGAGGTTTTAGTTTTGCTTTTAAACAAACTAAAGCTTGTGCCCCATGCATTGCAGGTTTAAAATACTTTCAGACGTCTGTTCATGTTTGTATTAAATATTATATTATACTATGTCTAAAGTACAAAAGTAATTCTCTTTACAATGGATACAGATTTTATATATTGTATACAATAGATAGAGATTTTATATATTGTATACAATGGATACAGATTTTATATATTATATACAATGGATACAGATTTTATATACTATATATAATGGATACAGATTTTATATACTATATACAATGGATACAGATTTTATATATTATATACAATGGATACAGATTTTATATACTGTATACAATGGATACAGATTTTATATATTGTATAGAACTTTCTATCTGTATCTTGGGATTATATATATATATTCTGTTTATTATAGGTTTCTAGTGATCGTGTTATAGATGCATGTACACGTCTTGCGGTACATTGTTTTCAGAAGCTAAACTAATATCACGTGTGTCGTAAATGCGGAATAAACGACTCCGTACATTTCAAATTATATATTATTTATAAGCAGTACGTGTATTTCCGCATTACCTTCTTCTTTCATAAAAGTATCAGATATATCTAATATAAGGTTTAGCAGTTGAGTATTAAAACGTATTTTAGAACAAGTTTGTGTTTCTGTTACATCATATAAATATATATATATATATATTAAGAGCATAAAAGAGTTACAAACAAAATTTTATTAAACAATGTGGCCCAATGACCTAATTTAATTGCAAATGTTCATTAACAGAAACGAATGTCCTACAATGTGAGCACTAAGATGTCTTATAGGTACTAATACTGATTCGCTGCACTATGGTTACTAATACTAATTCACTTTACTATAGGTATTAACGCTGTTGCACTGTATTACTGATCCTAATACTGTTTCATACTGGGCTGTAAACTAAACTGTAAGTCTGCTGTCCAGCAACTCAAAGGGTTAACACAGCTTAGAAGAAAGTGCACTTTAAAACATTCCTAAAGCAATCGCATTTCAAATTTCGAATAACAACGGATGGCTAAACTGTAATTATTCAAACAGAGTGTAAATGAAACCGTATCAATGCTTACAGAATAGAGTGAAACTGTACAACGAAACAACATTAGTGCCATAGATTACAGTAAAACAGTACAACGAAATAGTATTAGTCCCACAGATTATAATTAATCCTATAAATGAAAAGAAATAACGGTCGCTATTATGCTGTGCTGCCTCTTAATGTTATAAATATTTCCCATAATAGTCGTATACAGAGGGTTGAGTACGTGATACTAAAACGATACTGAATACATATAAACCAGCAAGTCACGTAGCAAACACTTTTGATATGAAGTCACGGTGGAATGGCGTGTATCAGAACAACATTTTGACATTGTTTGGCGCCTCATAGGTAGTGCGATGCCACCAAAAATTGATCGCTTTTGGGAAGGGTATGTAACAGGTCAGAAATTTAGAATTTCCAAAGCGGAGATACATATTGTTCTTAATGGCATTGAGAAAACAATAATAATATAGATAAACTAAGACACCAGAACCATCCAGAAAGAAGCTTACAATAAACCGTACCCAGCCGTTATAAGCACAGCGAAGACTCTTGTAACAGATGAGAATATACGAACACAAAGGTCAGTGGCAAAAGCCATCCATATACCTCCAGACAACCGTGCACAACATAATCAAGAGGAATCTCGGTTTGGGAAAGTTACACAAACCACGTGTACACAATGAACTGCCACGACATATTCGTTCAACCCATTCTTCAAGCGGCTAAAGAACAAAATAAGTATTCATGTTGTTCCATAATAATAAGACATGCCGGTTGCAGCGACTATGGATTATTGTGTGATCGAACTGTTGAAACAGACGCTAGGAAATCGTCACCTAGTACACTAGATGAAGTGTGGAAAACCTGCATGAAGAAATGGTGTGCTTTGGACATGACATCCTTACGACGGAGCCTTGTGCAATAGAAACTATGCTGCAATGCTATTGTCAAGATAACATAGTCGTCAGATAAAGCATGACTCGACGTGGCCACATGAATTCTAATAACGACGTGGTAAAGCTCCAAACCGTTTTAATATAACGTACTCAACTCTTATACGCGGAATGTTCGATTACACGTCGAGCCTAACTGGATATTTAATAACTTGTTTTTAAGCTATACGTATTTCAGTCTACCATTATTTTAACATCTAGGTGGCTTCTTTTCTCATTCTACCCGAAGTATATAAGCGTGGTTTGCTTAGATATACATTTCCGGATCTACTCGGGCATTTTTATCAACTCAATTAGATTCGCCTAAGTTAGAAAATATCTAAGCGTCAACTAGTTTTAATGATTTTGAAGTATTAGAAGTACTATTTCTTGATTGGTTTTACACAGCTTTTCCAATGAATATTTATGAATATTACACAACTGACTTAAAATGGAAATGTAATGTTTTAGTTTTTTGAATTTTACTAATGAACTGTACCTGAGCTATGATAGTATTATCATTGATGGGCTGTTTTTTAATCACATTTCCAGAACATGCAAGACATCGGCAACAAGTCATATCACAGCCAGTATCTACGTCTTTCTCAAGTTGTCCTTCAGTTTATTTTAATACTTTTCTGTCTAAGCATTCCGATCTGACTGCAAAACAAAACACGTCGGAAAAACTATTTTCCGAAGAACTAAGGTCACACGTGCTAACCCCGAACACTAACCTGATAAGTAGGGTTAGCTCTTCGAGCCTTACTATGGGTATTTCTGAGAAATCGGAAAGCCGTTGTATCAGCGAAGGTGCCGGTACCGTGGAAGGCTCACCGAGTGAGTCCGCACTGTCAGTGACGAGACTGGTGGGAGAATCGTCGTCACCTTTGCCGGCTGTAAAGAGGAGCCCTTCCTTGACGGACGAACCCAACACTACAGCAGTAGAGCTGGCACCTTCAGCTGGCCATCTGGATACTTCCTCTTATCAAGATTCAGATGAACAAGAAGATAAAGATGAGCGAACTGAAAACGACGTGGATACCAACCGCTGCCTGGAATCAGTTGAACGTGACGAATTTCCCAAACGTAAACAACGGCGGTACCGTACAACTTTCACTAGTTTCCAACTAGAAGAGCTGGAAAAAGCTTTCTCACGAACACATTACCCTGATGTCTTTACAAGGTAAAGCTTTATAATTAACTTTAGTAATGTCTTGCTCTAATACAAAGACGGCATTAAGGTTTATTATTTTAAGTCTACGTGCAGGTACAGGGCATAAAAGGCTTTTACTACAGTTTTAGCTACATACATTATTTAGATTAATAATGGCTGGAGACGGCCTGATGATGACAAAACCTTGTCGAAACGTTGTACATTTGCTGTTATGTTAAACGCATATTAAACACTTTCTTCATTACCCATTCAAGCCGTCTCCAGCCATTATTAGTCTCAAAGTGGGTTCCTCGTCATCGAATTATTTAGATTAGCCCTTTCGCTACCGACTGGCTCGTTAATAGATTCGATTTGCTAGTCCTAGACGATTGTATTCAGCCAGAGCTCAGTGTATGTTTCAAAAACTGGCGCGGATTTACCGAACACAGCAGTTGCTGTTCTTTCTGTTGGAACACACATTAAATATTTAATATCTGTTCTCAATTTTTTAAAAAAGGAAAAGTAACAATCTTCGAAAACGAAAAAAAATATTAATATAGAGAATAGAATAAACTATTCAGTTGATTTTAAAGTATCGAAGCTCCAGTGTGCTTCAGCTCACAAAATTGTATATCAATGATTTGAGTAAAACTTATGTTGTTAAGATGCGTTACTTCAAAAAAGATATGCCACCAAAGTTAGTTTTTTATATGTGGTTATCTGCTTTGAATTAATCTATAGAGTTATATTTTTACAAATTCTAAATTATAGTAACTGATTTACATATATCCCACATTAAAAAATTATTACATTTCTGGTAAAATGTAAGAAGTTGAAAACTGTTCACTGAATACCGTCTTAATTAAGTTATTCATGAAGATATTCGTGTGTAATATTCAGTACCAAAAAACATTTAAACATTCTAGAATACATTTCATATGTCGTCGTGAGAAAGTTTGCAAAAAATATATTTTTTTAAAAGCTTTCAAACCACATTATTTCATATCCATCGGAGTCTTCAGTTCTTATACCAATCAATATACAAGTCTGTAATGTCTATATTTATATCTACCGACATGGTATATTTTCTTATCAATAGTTATCCATCTGCTGTTTTTTTGTCGTCTCTTTTAACTGCCTAAAACACGAAATATTGTGATTTACAATTGTCACATCTAGTTTGCTTCGGGTGCTGTTCAGGCGTATTCTGTTCTTAATAGACATAAATTTTGAAATGTCAATTTAAGACGGTGCATGCAGAATTATATATGATTCCTCCCCTAAGATGGAGAAGCGATATTTTGATACAGAGAAAACAAACATTAATAAAAAACCATAGATTCAGTTCTTCCAATTAATTTCGTAATTTAAATCACAAGTACAGATTTACAAGTTTATTCGTTTTTAAATGTATAAATCAGATTGAAATCCAATACTTATGCTGTCACATGTCATTGCCTGAGCAGACTGGAGATAAAGTGTACACTTTATTATGAGATGGTGGCGACGTCTAGATTTTATAACAATTGTTAGATTAAGGGGTTACTTTCTTGTTTTGTACATTCAAATACAACTTTTAGTTGCTGTCGGCAAGATGTTCATGCTTGGTTCTTTTACCAAAGGTGAGATCGTGTTTAAGGAGATTTAAATGCTTATAAATATACTGAAAACAAAAAAAGAATTATCGAAGCAAGTTTTTAACATAGATAAGAAGATTAATGGAATATATATTAGTTTTTCTCTCACCACTATTACTGCAATATAATTTCTAGCCTGCTTGCGAACTTTTCTGAATAATAACTGCCTGTAAATACTGTTCTTGTTTAGTGAAATTAAAAATAAAAAAAAACAATATTAATTAGTTGAAAACAAGGACGCATCTCGCAAAATGACACATATTTAATGCATAGTCCTTCATTTTCTACCTTAACAAGCACTTAATTTGAGCGGATTTCTCGTATTCTAAACACTGTGTATTTGCTGAATAAAAGTTTTACTGTTTTGCCTTATTATTTCGACTTGTATTGCTCTTTATGTAAGGGTAATTTGACGAGCGGTGGCCTTGTTATTTTTGTGACTGTATTAAAGGCCGTTGTTTCGGAAAAGTGGAGAGTTACTGGTGTTAATATGGGTGTGAAGACTTTAAAATCATAAATTGATAAGGTGTCTAGATAATAACACCCTTAATACGGTATTCATAATGATAGGTTAGTAGAAGAAAGACGAAGCGATGGCCTGCTGTTGTAAGATTTATATTGGTGTAGTTTTGAACTCAGCAGGGACCACCCGAAACAAGGCTAACAATCAAGGACTCTGATGGACACAGTTTTTGAAATTCGTGACAGCTGAGCGATAACAACAATCCCTATAATCTGCTTTGTAGTCATCTTGTTGAATGTTCTTTCTACGTTGATGATGTCTTAGAATTGTTCAGTCCTCAGGTTAAGTCTAGCGCCTGCTATTACAATTTGGTTTTATTAAACTTTTTTAGTCGATATGGAGTTACCAGCCTCAAGTTGTTTTCATTTAAATATAAACTGAATCAGTTTGTTAGGTTTCACTTTCATTATCCTACTTTGCTTTCTTGTCCTAGAGTGCCAAAATAAAACAAAAGTACTCTGCCACAAGTAAATAATCAGTCATTTTATCATTTATGGTAAATACAACATTATTTTGACTTATTTATTTGAATTACATCAGATGAGTTTTATATAATGCGCTCAGCTACTACAATTAAATGTAAACGTTCTTCGTTTATCAAGTTATGACCACTACAATGCCAGAAAAAAACTTTACACATTTGTGCTATTTATCAACTGTTATGCAGGGTTCGGGATTTAAATTCGAATGTTGGCTAATTTTTAATAAACCTGTATGCTAGTTGTTACTTTAGTTGGGGACGATACACTTCTTAGAAGTGACTACTCATATAGTTTTGATGTTTAAGAGGAAAATTTCCAAGATTTGACTGCCTACACTATGAACAGTGTTAGTTTTTTGTTTAACAAGGTAAGTCATGCTTACTGGAACTCAGGTTTGGGTACAGAATGCTCTTTAGTACTTTATCAGTTGTTCTGCAGATTTTCCGTTAATCCTCCAGTGTAGAAGGCAAAACCACACTTCTGGTATTAACTCTGGTCTTTGATGCCGTTAGTTGTCAATGCTTATTAATTGTGCAGGTTTAATAGTAAACTTATCTGACTGTGGTTGATTGCAAGGAAATCCTTGTCAATAACTACATTGAACGTCAACAAAGTGAGATCCAGCATCATCACATGAGGATGAAAGATATTCCCAGTTTGACATAGATCGGTGCTTTGAGCAAAATGTATGAATGTAAATAAACAGTAGCAGTCGCAACTCTATTACACCAGCAGCTCAACCTACTGAGGAATCTACATCTTACGGAGTGAAGAAAAAGTATTAAACAGCTTAGCCACAAACGGATGAGAACTTCCTCAAAGACAGGGTATTCCACTGCCTGTTGTAATAGTTAGATCAAAGATTATTACTCCAACCAACCTTTTGAGATTTGTGTTATCAGTGCAGATACACAGTAGATATTGGAAACACGACTATCCACAGATTGACTGCCGAAAGAATGTGAATTGACAATAATAATTTTGTTTCAGTATCCAAATTTAACAAGAGAGTCAAAAATAAGCAGTCAACTATTGATTTAAATTAGCTCTGTATGGCTGTCAGTTTGGGAATAACTGGGAACAATGATGCACTAAAACATACATACCAGCATAATGATAGTTTCGTACATTTTTTAAGATATGTTGAAGAGAGATGGAATTTTTAGTGAGCACATAAGTAATCAAAATCTGCTTGGTCTTGCAATGTATCAGGCATTAATACACATACTACGTCTCAGGGCAGTTAAAAATGAGTGGTGTAGCACAGCTTCACCTTACAATTAAAGAAGTTTCACATAAAATGGAAATGGTTAAAGTTGATCTTGGTATAAGGTGTCTTAGGAATGAATCTGTTGCATGAGTTATTCGTCAGGATGCCCTGTAGTACAGATGACCTTTGTCTCTCCACAAAATGATAAACAGAAAAATTGAACTGCTAGAGTGCAGTTAGAGGAAGAAGTAGGTATTCTTCTTAATAAACAAATGACATTTGATTGAAAACTATGAGAACAGTAACAAAAGATGAGGCTTCTTCATCAGGTTAGAAAAAACAAGTTCTGAAATTAAAGCTAGAAAATTGTGCACAGAAATATAATTTCTTGGGCATGTAGTAGGTAGGAGCAATGTATCTACTGTTTCAGCTTAGATGAAAGCAGTAAAAGACTGGCACCAATTAACAAACAAAAGAGATAGTTAAAACCTTCTCAGTTTATCAAACCTTTGCAGCATGTATCTCTCATACAACAGAACCATTGACATTGTTTCTTTTAATTAACCTTCATTCATGCGTCAACTTATTTGCGGAAGATGAAAATTTATTCTGATCACTAATGCCAGTTTGAGTGTATACATAAGTGTTAGCTTATCTAAGACCAACTTTTCAGTGATAGTAAAGTGAATCTTTGTTACTACAAGTACTGGACAGTACAGAATAAAGCATACACGAGTTCAGTGTTGACTCAATGATGTACTACATAACAAAGAAAGAAATGCCACAGTTGAAATAGTCATTAAACAATTCTGAAATTATTGGGGTATACTGTAAAAATAGACCATACATTACTGAAATATATGATAAACATAAAAGATCTAAAAAGGATGTATTCAATGACAATTGTTTCTATGTTTGTCTGTTTTGAAAACTATAAAGATAAAGGTTTCTAAGTGAATCTTAGATATGTTTTCACTTGCTAAATTGAATAAAATATACGAAGGGTATTAGAGTGCTTGTTTCCTTTCACTTTTATTGCTTTATATATTCTAATTGTTTATTGATTGCTGTAATTGGCCAAAACAATGTTTGTAGAGTTTGAAACCCGATGATAACAAATCACATATCAGCATAGTTACAACAGTTTTATTACAGGTACACATAAACGTTTTGCTAGA